ACTATCGTTACCTACCTTTAGATTAACTTTGAAATAATAGTAGACACCTTCTTGTCAATAAACCTTTTAAAGACTCTTCCAAACATCGTTTTAAACACGTGGTCGCTTTTATCACGTATTTTTGTAATATTAGGTTTAATACTCACCCTCATCTCAGAACTCGCACCAAAAAGGTAACAATACATTCACGCAAGAAACGCAAATCTTATATTTCAAGCTGTGTTTAAGCTACAAGAAATACTATAAAAACAACTCACATACGCACACACACACACACACGTACACATAAATCACACGCACACACAAACCACACAGCACACCACAACCGTGGGTCGGTAGTACTATTGTGGCTTTGGTTTTTTAATACTTGGCTTTTTTGTTAAAAACGGATTATAAAGAATCCTTCGAAAATATAAAAAAATATTCCATTCATCATGTCTCTTGATTTGTTAAGCTGCTCTGGAGGCCTTGTTGGCTTCGTGCTTGTTAGTGTTTTTTGCGTATTTGCTCATTTTTCCTTCTATAAAAAAAAAGAGGAATAACATTGCTTTTTACCTGATGCTGATTTTGTTGGTGTATTATTAGTTTATTCTGGATATTGTCGCTTTCCTTGAGGTATTGCAAAGTAACCGCACTAACGGAGGAAAACTTTTGTGGTGCCTTTTGATTTTCTTTTTCCCCTTCTTTGGTCTTATCTTATATTTGTAAGTATTATTATTTCTTTATTGTTATTAGGATACATAAGATAAGGTGGACATTTGAAAAGAGGAGGTCTCTATCAAAATACAAAAAAGCAACACCAAAATTTTTTACTATGAGCGATCACAATCATCTTCATATGTTAAAGTCATTGAAGTATTTAAAAAAAACTCTCAGGAAGATCCTGTTAAAATAATATAATAACTTCATCAAACTTATGTATACTCGTCAATTATCAAAAAATTTTTTTGATTGTTTCGGACAAAGAAAGATTGGATTTCCATAACTAACTTTTAATCTTTCCCTTGTTTTCATTTTTATCAGCTTCTTCTCTAATCGGAACCAACATTTCCGTTATGAGCTCCTGGCATGATAATAACAAAAGGATCTTGTTTGATGGAGTTTGTTGTTATAGTTTCTTGATGGAGTGCTGAAGTAAATAGAAACTTAGGATTTATGTAGGGGCTCTAATAACTATTTATCTTTATTAATAAAATTTGTATAATGGGTTTTCTGAACGTTTCTAAATTAGAATTGCACGTGAATTTATAATATCCAATGCGAACATAAAATTTTTCATGACAAATTATCTATTCGCGTATTTACTATTTCAAAATGTCTAAGACAGCGGAACAAGAAGCACCAAAAGAAACGCAACCATATATGCGGCTTCGCGTTTTAGTCGACTCTAAAAAATACGCTTTAAAACAACTCTCTGCTGAGTGGGCTCTTTACCATGCAGGACTTCATTGGCAAGAAGGGCTTTTGTTATACAGTAAGAATGTTGTCATCGCCCAGCCCAACGATGATTCTTCTACTTCAACAAAAGAAGAAAATCAGAATCAAGCGCTTTTAGATAGGTCCCTCGCGCATTTGTTTAAAGCTATAATTTTATCGGAGAACATGTCTTTTATCGCGGCTTCGACGTGTCTTGTTCCATCGTTGTTTCCCAAAGGAACACCATTGAATACACAAATTGGTCGTATCATAAAAACTGTGTGTGGGATTGGATCACATATTGGCGTGATGCCTGATGCAAAATTCACATCGTTAATGTGGGAGTTACTAACCAAGCTCGAAGTAATTGAATGATTAATCATCTAATCGGATCTTTAATATGAAGTTCGCTATTACTAATTAATATTTGTAACTTGTATAGGCAAGTGATACTGATATGGAACAAGCATTGACTCTCTTCACCAAAAGTATAATGTCTATATTTTTGTGGGTCGAAAGTATAAAACTAGAAGAACAAGTACGTTTATTCCAACGTGGAATAATCTTTATTGCTGCCATGCGGAAGTTATTAGCCTTAAAATTACCAGATTTTGTTGCAGGATTCGCAATTCAAGCGTTGAATGGGATCCCGGTATCGACCGTGATAGAGGGAAGACCATTACCAAGTTTGACGGCGAGAACACAATTGTCGGATGCTGTGCGTGAAAAGATTCTGAAAAGAGCTATAGAAGATGAGAATTTAAGCTTTTTGTTGAGTCTAGAGCTAATCTCTCTTATGTATTTTCGATCAGGTTCTGCGTTGTTAAAGATGGAGGGGGTGAAGCCTGAGGCCGTGAAGGCTACCTTACAATGGGCTCTTGATTTATTGGATGCGAGCAAAAGCCCTGAATTTGCAATATCTCCGTCTTTATCGTCATCTTCTGAAACGAGAACAATCGAAAACAATGATAAAAATAATGAAAACTCTAATGTGAACTCTACAAACGAACAATTACCATTAATTTTTGCTGTCCCGATTCACACACTTTATCGGTCAGATTATTTATATTATCTTTGCGGCGCGATATTTAATCTTAAAAAATACCAACAAGCAAAATGGAAATATCTGGACGTGGTAAAAACGGCGCGTGATCTAAATCGCGTGACAGCACTCGAGGCGTTATATAGTGTTCCGGTATGTATTGCTTTGGGTGCTGATAGCGTAAAGGACCCAACAATATTTGACGTGGAAGAATTTCGAAAAGCTACCAAGGAACCCGATTCATTATATCATGAATTGAAGGAGGAGGGTATTTGGTTGGAGATGCTCGAATCTAATCAGAGAAATCTGGTAAATCAATTTTTTAATTGTGATAATTAGTAAAGCAGTCAATTTGAAATAGCCAACCATTTATTAATTCTGTTAATAAATTACAAATAATATTTAGGTTACACAATTACTTGAATCTCTACCGGAAAGAGGATCTTCTCCGATATTATTAATGGAAGGAACAAACTCTGATGAATCTCGAGATTTCTCTTTTTCAACATCCTCAGGAAAAGAACAATCCTCATCGAAAACGAGTACCCCTTCAGAAAGTGTTGATCAAAATTCAAAGATAACACTCGATAAATGTGCTCATTGTCAAAAAGCGGATCCAACTATGCAGTGCCCGTGCAAACAGGTAAGATATTGTGATCAGGTGTGTCAAAAAGGTAATTGGCGAGTCCATAAAAGCGTGTGTAGTAAGAATAAGCAAAAGGGAAAAGGATAAGCAGGAATTGTCGTTTTTAAATTTTGAATATAGTACTTTAAAAAACAATGTACCACCTGAGTTTATATTTTTAAAGAACAAATCCTTTGACATGCAAAAGATAGATTATTAGAATATTTAATACGCATCGTTCTTTATATTAAAAAGAAAATTTGTATTTATTGCACATTTTTTTAAAAATATTTATTTAAAAAAATTAGTCATTTTATTTATCAAAGCTTCAGATGTTAAGATTCTGCAAACTTTATGATGAATCACAATGATTACAAAAGCAGTTTCTTTTTCATAACACATAGAATGAATCGGATAGTAAGTTATACTTGAAAATGAAAAATTATGTCGCAATATTAGTAGGAGATTCTAGATTCAGATACTTATAAATATAGCCCCGGTAAACATTTAGGTGAGGTTGGAAAATAAGTTGGAGCACAGTTGGTCATGACGATGCAAGATCTCTTGTATAAAGATAGCATACATTTGCACCTAGAGTAAATGAAGAGATGTTGAAATAAACGAATTATTCAAGGAGATGGATATAATTGTTCATACAATGTTTCTTGAGAATCCTTGTGTAAAATAACTATAGCACAACGATACATCCATAGACACACTTCGCTCGGGATCATGTTAATGATTGTCTAATCTACAATTACTATTCTCAGGATTTCTTGCGGTCACATTCTTTGTCGCATTTGCGAAGTCTGTCATTTCAACTTATCACATTGCAAAATTTTCGCAGAAAACACATGCTCTCCAAACCTCACCCGCAAACTTTTTTCCAACTCAATGACTTTAAAAGCATCAATTATCCAGATCATTCACATTGGATTTGTTTTACCCAAGGTTCGTTTCATCACCATGTACAATTGAATATATAGTGAGATTAAATGATCGTCTTGAATATCTGAGGCTTGAATCTATCAATCGTAAGAAGTGAAAGAACAAAGCTTGTACCACATTCATTCCACTCTTGAGAGTGATAGATAATCACAAGCCTATGAGATAATGTCGAGGACATACCTGAAATATACCTTTCCTTGCGTTCGAATCACATTCAAAGCTATGATAAATCTGCTGTCTTTAGGATGTTATCCGCACATCTTCATACACTATATCAATTTGATCTTTTACGTTTAATGCAAACATTTGGTCCGAGTATGCTAATTTAAAAATCAGATAAAATTTTTTGACTTAAACAATAAACTTTCGAGAAAAGTAGTTAGATTTAGACTTACGGAAAATTCATTTGCAAATTTTGTTAATAAAAAAATCATGTAATACATAGGATCTCTCATCTAGTGTTTCAAACCGGCAATAAAATACCAGCGCGGCTGAGTTGGTATTTTTTGTTTCGCGTTATTTTTTTAATCCATAAATAACTTTTATATGTACAGTGCGCGACACTTAAAGATGGAAATTAAATTTAAAAACTTTAAAAAGTAATGGAGGATGGTACAGCGGTA